TTCCTCACCTGGGCAAACCGCTGCCCGAGCCTCACCTCCGCCGGGCGAGCGGGCGGGCGGGCGGGCTCGGCATCCCTCGTCCCTCGGCAGCTTCACCGCCTGGGTCCCGCTCCCCTCCCCCTCCCACCGGCTGCCTCTCACCTCCATCCACTTTCCTGGGCCCCTCTCCTTTCCTTCCCCCTTAGTGACGAGGAAAAAGCGTACGGCCCTGCGCTGCGGCGGGCGAGCCCTGGGGGAGCCTCGGTTCGGGCACGGCCGGCGGTGGCGGGACCGTGTGCGGCGTCCGGCAGGTTCGGGTCACCGAGTGGGACGCGGTGCGGGGCTGCGGTCGGCCGGCTAACGGGACGGCTTCAGCGCTGTCTAAATATATTCCGCCGTGGCCCGTGCCCCGCCGAGCAGCTCCCTTGACCTTGTGCGGCTCCTCCCTCCTCCCCTCTGTCCCCCTCTCCCTGTCCCCCCTCTGGAATTTGACCTCGAGATCGCCGCGCTGCCGCTGAGTGCTGCACCGGGAGAGCTCAGACCCTCGCGGTTTCTCTTGGTTTTGTGCTAGAGGAGATTTCTGTGCTGCTGAATCGCTTTAGAGGTGTTGCATCCATTTTCCTTTCATCCCCAGAAAGACGGGAGCGACGCCAATGTGAGCATGGCTGTGACCGTGGAAGAAGCTCCGTGGATGGGCTGGGTCGTCGCGAAAGCCCTGATGAGATTTGCCTTCATGGTCGCCAACAACCTGGTTGCTATTCCATCCTACATCTGCTATGTAATTATACTACAGCCCCTCCGAGTGCTGGACAGTAAGCGTTTCTGGTATATCGAGGGACTCATGTACAAATGGCTTTTAGGAATGGTGGCGTCCTGGGGATGGTACGCTGGATACACAGGTAAGAGCAAGAGCACGCTACAGCATATGAGCCAGTTTGCAATGCTAAGCATAAGTCAGGAGCCATGATTGAATATATATTATGCTTTGGGTTGAGAATGCTTTGACTACGGGTGTGTGTGGGGGGGGGAGTCTTGCTGCATTTCTCATCAGAAGTGCAGCCAGAAAGCTTGATGTTTTCAGAAGTACAATTTTATAATTAAATAATGTTGATAGATTCCTTAAATAGTGTATTTCTGGTGTGATTGACATTGACTTATTAAAAAAGGTCTGCAAAAGCTATCATAGAGGAGCAGGAGTGCATCGTGGAGGACTCTGAGGGCTCACAAAGTGGACACATGAGGGACTTAGTCCATACGCATTGCAATCTAGAAAATCCATACGGAGCCGGACTTCTGCTAAGACAGTTTTCATGCATTGTGATCCTGCACTGTGTGAATGTTTTAAACCCAGCCCCCCATTTCTGTTAAGTATGTTTCTTTTGTTTTCTAGAATTTATCTATTTATTTATTTATTTTATCTCATAAATCTGACATTATTAAAAATTTAAAAATTGTTATGAGACTTAATTTGCCCAAAGTGTGTTTAAATGGATTTCTATTTTTGCTTTGACACTGCATTTTGGGGAGAAGGCGTGTTAACTACAATGCTGAAGGGGGCCTTCCGAGCACTGGATGAGAAGTGGTGTGTACCTGTAAACTTTACATATTTTCAGAGCTTCCATTTCTGTCCAAATTGTTTTTTTTTTCATTGATTATTTCTTCCTTAAGATTGAAATAATGCATAGAGAGGTGAGGTTTCTAGCGCCTGTGACATGCGGAAGCTTGGCCAGGTTCCTCAGCACTCTGCTGCGGATCTGGCTGAGAAGAGTGGAGGGTACTGGAAGGGTTGGGAAGCAAAACAGTTCTCCATTTTCAATCCTCTCTCCCTCTTGATGACGCAGCCAACACCTGCAGATTTTATCCATACACACCAGAAAGAGACCAACAGCACTGGGGTCTGTTGTGTGAAGAAATGCTCTTTGTTGCCCCATGAAGACTCTCCCCTTCCCTCCTTGATACCTATTTTCCCGTGTGCCCCTGGGATAGTATACGTGTTGCTTCTCTGTGAAGAGCTTTTGAGACCCTACTGCTTTCTGGATACAGAGACGAGCACCTCGTCCTTTCTAGAGCCTGGTAGCAGCAGCAGCGGTAGAGAGAAGCATGGAGCGCCTGCCAGCAAAGCTTTGCTGCCTTAAGAATGGCTTTGCTTAGTGTAGTTGGCTTTCCCAGGTATGCTCTGTAATAGCTGGTGGATTTATTCTCTGCACAGTAGATTTAGGTTTGCTTGTTTGAAATGAGCATATAGGCTTTCAGAAACAGCTTCTATTTTTCTACGTAAAAGCAATAAAATAATTGAAATATTTGTACTTGTATGTAATACATATTTATGTGTGTCAGCCTGATGAAAGAAATCAGTCACTGACCTTGAGATTATGAGAAACACAGGGCTGCTGCCTGGAGTTAGTCACCTGTGTCACCCCCAAACTTACCCTGTAACCCAGAGTGGCACTGAACTCAGATCAGAACTCCTGCCTCAGCTTCCCAAGTCCTGGGATTTCTGTGCCTGCTTCACGTGTGTTTTTAAACAAAGTTTCTTGGGGGCGTCGTCTTTACTGACTACAGACTTCTAAGTTTTTGTTTTTGTTTTTTTAGCCTCCATCACAATGGTTATGGTGTGGTCCCTGTATCTTAGTCTCTTTGAAACATTTGCTCCTCTTCAGGCTACCAAATGTTGGCTGTTTGATCAGTTTTCATCGGATTTTAGTTTGCGTATTTACATTGAGTTTTTTTTCATGAGCAGAATACTTGGTTATGGAGTCTGGCCACAGTCTGATCATAACAGCAGTTAGGAAGTCAGACAAAGTAGGAATGATTTTGTTGAGGTTTAGTGAGGCTCGCCTACATAGGTGATGTTAATGAACTCTTTTCTTTGCATTTATAGCTTATTTCTTACCTTTCTACCAAGAGGGCAGTAGGCGTTCTACTTTCCTTTCTCACAGTTGGAAAATTGAACAATGTCAAAGGAACTCTCAAAAGATCTGCTCAGTGACTTGGTGTTAGAATATTTGCCTGACATACACAGATTTCTGGTACCTCAGACAAGCAAATAAGGTTCCTTGTTCATGTAAAGGAAAATTTATTGAGAATCATGAAGAGGCAAATGTCATAAAAACGAATCCTTCAGACAGTGTGATTCTTGCCCCGTAAGCCCATGGACCTTTCTTTGTTTTTGTGGAGATCGCTCATCACTCCCTTGCAGGTTAGCGTCTGTGCCAGATCAGTGTTGCGGAAGTCATCCTATACTGTTAGCTCCACCACTGCATTTCCTGCGCTGACTGTCCTGTTAGCATCAGGTTTATGTTTCAGGATTAAAATTGCCAAAATTTTGTTGAAAATCCACTTAGAAGGAAGTTTTAACGCCAGTTAGAAAGCTGGGAAGTCAACACTGGTTTAGAATGACAGATTTTCCTGTTGTGGCCTTCGGTGTAAGGGGAGGCAGCTGCTCAGCTGAGGTCTGTGGTGATGCTCTAGCTACCCTGCCCGAGATGGTAGCAGCTAGCTGCATGTGGATGAATTGAAACAACATAGAGTTGAAGTTCAGTTTGGTTACAGCTACATTCCCTCCCGCTCAGTGCTGGTGGCTTGGGGCCGCTGAGCTGACAAGAACGGATACAGCACACTCTGTCACAGAGAGCCACTGGACAGCGCCAGCAAATTGTCCTTGTGGCTTTTTTCCTTTTCCTAGGAGAATTGCATTTTATTTTTTATCAGAAGAACATCTTTTTCTTGCTCTAACAAATTTCTGGGCTGTGGCTATAGTTGAGTGGAAGAATACTTGTATGTGTGTAAAAAAGAGGTTCCTTTGGGAAATACTGGAAGATGTGTTCCAACTCTGTGAAGAGGCAAACAAAATGAGTCCTTCAAATACACCAAGGATTCTTGTACAAGGAATGATAAGACTCGTAAGCCCAAGAACCTTTTTTGTTATTGTTGATTGTTTTTTGAGACAGGGTCTCATGCTGCTATGTGACCCCGAAACTCACTATAGGTCGTCCCAGCTGACCTTGAACTCATGGTGATCCTCCAGCTTCAACTCTCACTGCAAGCTTTTAGAAGCATGAGCCACCATGCCTGGCTCCCAGAATTGTTTATTTTGTTTGTCTTCTCAGAGATGAAGAACTACCTATAGACAGAAAGATAGGAAGGGATTTTCTGGTCTGACTACCTATTTCTGACTTTGTCTTGTCAGATGAACACATTTCTTGAAGGCTCACTTGGTGTTCGGGAGTGGTGAAAATTGCTACCACTAGCTCTTCAGTGGCAAATGATGTGTAGACATTTCTTACTGGGACCAGCGTTATACTGGTTTCCTTTGATACTTTGAAGGCCATCTGGAAACAATACTGTCTTAACTGGTGGTCTACTTTGTGTAATGCATTACTTGAATTTGTAAGTCAGCCCATCTCTCTTCCAATTTAAGTGAAAACTGGCAAATTTCAGAGAGAGCATATATATATATACATACATATATATACGTATATGTATATATATACATATGTATATACATATATACATATATGTATATATACATACATACGTATATGTATATATACATACATGTATATGTATATATACATACATATATACGTATATATGTATATACACATATATACATACTATACACACACACACACACACACACAAAATAGGCTCCTTTAAAGTAGTTTTTTGCCTTTCACTCACTTACTTGGTACAGTTGTCGTTATCCAAACACATTTAACTAAAGTCTCAGGTCATCAACAGTTTAAAGACATTAAAGATAAAGTGGAAGCTGCAGAATTTCTACAAAGGACTGAGAATATTTGGGCCAGAGTCTGACTGGCAGGAACGTGGGGGCTTGCTGCGAACTGGCTCTGCTTAGCAAAGGCTGTTTTGCTTAGTTGGGTAATTTACCTGTGTTAGCTTCAGGGAATGCTGATGCAGTTCAGGCTGATGCTCCTGAGCGCAGGCTTTGCTGGCTCTGTTTGTTCTCCTTTGTGGGTTACTTGACTATTTGGTAGCATATGTGTGCTGAGCTGTGCCGAAGAATGTGTGGATATTTTGTTGTTGTTAATTTAATTTTATTTTTTACTATGAGTGCAGGTAGCATCTGAAAAGCATTATTCTGATGGGAATGCAGCTTAGAACTCTTGAGTCAGTAGTAATGTTCCATCTTACCTCACGAGTGGGTATGCTTGCCTGTGTCCTACCCACAGGGCCTCCTCTAGAATCCTAGATCCTGATTCATTGCCTGTTGTTTGTAGGGTGCTTGGTCAGTGTGTTTGTGTGTATATCTGAGATAGGGTCTTCTGTTCTAGTCTAGACTAATTCTGGGTTGGTGAGGCTAGTCATAAACTTCTGCTAGTACTATCTCTTCTTCCCAACTGCCAGGATTATAGGTTTATGCCACTCCATGGGGGCTGGATTTTGTTTTTCCAGGAGATGGAAGTTAGGGCCACATTCATGGGGTTTGAAGCCCTCCACCCTAGAGTTACACCCCCAGTCCACCTTTCTCTTTCTTGAGTAATCTCTTTCCTTTTTTTTTTTTTAATTTCTTCATTAATTGCCTTTCTCATATCAAGGTGACAATAATATGAAATGTAAACCCCAAACCATGTCATATGGAGTTATTGTTTTTCATTTAATATGTTTGTTTGTTAACAGTGCCTTGCTGTATAGCTTTGTCTGGCCTGGAACTCAACCTTGTAGATTGGCCTGCCTCTGCTTCCCAAGTGTTTGGGATTAAAGGTATACACCACCATGCTCAGCCCTCATTTACTGTTTTTATTGAGCTCGTGCCTGTGTGTAGAAACAGGTGCCCTGGAAGTGTTTAGATGCATAAGGCATGGTTGGTCTTTAAGGAACTCTCAGCAGCACTAGTAGGGAGGTAGTGTACCAGAGAGGATGGAGACAGAATGAT